GTCTGGTGTGGCGTTAGGGTTTTCTGAAAGGGAATTCCTTCAGTTAACGTTAAAGTTTTGGAAAAAATATCCTGTTTTCAGCCTAGAAATACAGGATTGTGAAGTTTTTTTTTAAAAAGAAACACCAACAAATCACAAACCAACACCCTATCTCTGTTGTCTTTGGGCTTTAGAAAGTGCATGGAGAAGAATTTCTTAACTGCCTGTTACTTGGTGGAAGTACAGGGTTTTTTTCATGAATGTGGTGTCCTAAAATCCCATTTTTGCCTCCTGGGTGGATGTTCCCTCGGGCTTTCTCTGAACCGGCCTCCCATGCTCAGTGACCTTGTCTCATGAGGGAAGGTTTTGTCACCAGGTGTGTAGGACAAAGTGATTCTTGGCAAAGTGAATCCAGCAGGGCTGTGGCTTCTCTTTTTCAGACACCCCTTACTGAGGCACTAAGCCCGCTTTCTGCCAGTCTTAAAAGTAGATGTTCCCTCAGCCTTGTGAGGAATAAGAGCTGTATGATAGCAGATGTGACTTCGAAGTTGTCCATAAACATGTTTTATTTGCCATTTATTAATGGCTTCGAAGTTATTTATCTGCTGGCATTGTAACAAATAGCTATTTTTCACCATGAAATTTGTCTCACAGCAGTCATACCTGATATTAAGAAGCATTTCTACTTTAGCCAGTCATTTTACATGTTGAAATACATCTTCTCGCTCATTAACCATCCAGGTGCTGCTTGTGCAGCTGCAGCTTTGGTCACCTGTGGGCTGGAGAACCACCGGCTCTGTTTGCATTTCCCTTTGTTCTTCTCTGGCAGACCTGATGTTAACCAGTCTCCAGCCTGAATCAGTGGTGGTGTAATGCACAACAGAATTATTTAGTGTTTATTAAATATTTAAAGGTTAGATCAGAACAATTCTCTAATTTTTAGGACCTTTGGACCTAGAAATGTGGCACTGCCACTCCAGCCATGGGCAGGAAGTCGTGAATTTGGTTCAGGGGCACGTGCCACGTTATAGCCTGTCCTGCGACATAGCCAAAGGCTTTCTTGCACTGCGAAAAGGTGTGACTAAAACCTGTGAGGTTTATGTTCAAAGCTACCTGGTTTTTTCTTATTGTAGGTGAGCAGTCTGAAGTTGCAGATTGTGCAGCTGTAGATGTCGTGGGAGAATGGATCGATCTGAAAAATAGAGAAGCTGGCGTTAAGCAAGACAAATCTGTCATCGCAACTCATGGTGGTGAGTTCAGTCCCTTTAGTAGAGGCTATAATTCTTGTTTCTTTTGAAATGGTACATAAAATTTTAACTAAATTTAAATTTTATATACAGACTACTGAGGTAAAGCCAGGTAATTAGCCTGGCTGAATTAGTCAGGTAATTAAGTACAAAATTTCTCTATTAGGCTTTCTCAGAAATAAAACATGTGGCTTTGGTGCTCCTGACATAGTGACATTGTCCTAGTGATGCATTATCACAGGACCTGGATAAATACATTATAAAAATGTATCCACATTTAAAATTTAACTGTAATCCTCCAAGTTTTTCTGGACTGCTGAGTTTTTCTTTTTTCTCTCCAGCTGTGCCAGTACTAGGAATGAGACTTTTTTTTCCCCTCCAGAATAAACTGGAATTTGAAAGTTGTTGTTTTCCCACCATTAGTCAGTTGTGTTAATTACTGAATTAGTTTGACGTGTTTTAGTTCCTTTTGCAAGCTGAGGGAGGCAGTAGGGCACCAATTTTGGCGAGAGCAATGGAGCAGCTTAACCCTCCGGTGGTGTAGTGCCTGGAGGAGGGCAGGGGAAGGGAGGAAGGAAGGAAGGACCCTGTTTGCATGCACTGGTTATGCAGGCAACCGTGATGCAGATAGTAGGATGCAAGTCCTGCTTAAGTCTTTCTAAAAAGTGCGTGAGAGATGCTATTTTTAATTAAAAAAAAAAAGAGCAAGAAAGGTGTAGTTGCGCAGAAAATAGCTGAAGCAGAAGGGGAATCTTACTCGGTCTGTATGGACACGAAAAGTGAGCAAACTCGGAAGGTTTGTCTGTCACCTGTAAGACTGATTAACCAGGGAGATGCTCCTGCCTCGGTACGGTGTGGCCTTGAAGGAGCTGGGGTTGTTCAGCCTGGAGAAGAGAAGACTCCGGGGGTACCTTATAAAAGCCTTCCAGGGCCTGAAGGGAACCTGCAGGGAGGCTGGAGAGGGACTTTTTGCAAGTGTCCAGCGACAGGACAAGGGGAAATGGATTTAAACTGAAGGAGAATGGGTTTAGATTGGATCTTGGGAAGAAATTGTTCCGTCCAAGGGCGGCAAGACTCTGGAACAGATTGCCCGGAGAGGCTGTGGATGGCCCCTCCCTGGAGATGTTCACGGCCAGGTTGGATGAGCCTGGAGCAACCTGGTTGAGTTAAGGGAGGTTGGGTTAGATGATCTCTAAGGTCCCATCCAACCTCAGCCATTCCATGATTCTGTGATTGCCTTTGCACGCAAGCATCCTCAAATTGTCCGCATATCCTGGGGAAACATGACCCAAGATCACCACCGTAGTGGTGAGTCAGTGCTGGGAGTTCCTGGCTCGTATTCAGGATTTGTCTTTCTGTGACTGGTTTTCCAAGACTGCCGTCTAGTCAAGCGTGAAGGCAGTTCGTGTAAATCATTTCATCTCTAGCAGAGAGGCTTCTCCTGGCCAGCTCCTCTAAGATAGTCTTTTCTAAAGGTGATTTAGATGATTAAGAGAGTGTTATCTTGAGATGCAGAGTTAAAATCTTTCCAAAGAGTAAAGAGCCACTGCTTTTCACAATTAGCTTTCCTTTAACCATTTTACACTTCTCCTTCTTGAAATAGAGTATTAGAAGAGCATAGTAACAACAAAACACCTGCCTATTTTCCTATTAAATCCACGTTAGACATCAAAGGAAAAAGAAGCTCAATAATGATTTTCTCTATTTTTCTCCCTCTGCTCATAGATTTAACATGTCAGGTTTAAAGACGTAGGTTCATACAGAAAGCAAAATCTTATGTAGGTCGCTTAGTTATAAACCACTCAGCAGGTTTCAGACTGTAGACACTGAGATAATTAGCTTATCTCTTCTGGGACACGCTGAGTGCCTCTAATCAAAGCAGCCTCTTGGTCCAGTTGTGCTTTTCTTTCTAAATATTCTTGTGCTTTGTGACCTTACCGCTGTATGACACATGGCTCTGCCTTGATGTCTGCTCTGGGGTCTGGTTTTGCTCTCCTTGTCGCCTGTTCCTGCCTTATTCCTCTCCACCGAAGAGGATGTGGGAATGCAGGGCTCGGGGCAGCCAAGCAGCAGCAGGATTGTACTTCTGGAACAGTAATTGGCGCTGGCAGGGATTCTCTGTGGACAGACGTGCAGTGACATTTAACTCTGCCACCGCAAATGGAGATGGAGCGTTGGAGCATGTCTAGCTCAAAGATGGAAAGGAGGGAATACATGAAAGACACAAGAAATAAAGCCAAGTATCAAAGCGGGTGCATAGATCCTTCTGTAGGCATCGCTCTGCTTTCAGCGGCAAGGCAGGTGAGCCCCGAAGAAAATCTGAAAGTGTGAATATTCACTGTGAAGTTAGAAGACTTAACTTTCAGAGTTTAACTGTGTGGTGACTTTTTCTCATCGTTTTTTTGCTCTTGTTTCACTAAAATTATAGTCCTTGATAATTTTTATTTTTTTCCGAGCTTCTTTACTGTTAAACATGAATTAATATTACTCAAGTCAGGTTTAAAAATTGATGTTCTCTTTGCTAGTGTTTCGCCTAGTGTCTGTAGGCGCAAATGAGCGGATGTATGCCCACAGTTCAGCGCTACCTTGTGTACTTGAGATTAAATCCAGTGCTACTTACTTAGGTGGGGTTTTACATTCCTACTGCTCAGTGTTTTGGGGATTTGTGTGGTGGCTGTGCCAGGGCACCCCACGGGACCGGAATGCCACCGGTTGTCAGACAAGCACCGTGAAACGTGCGGTGCCCGTCTAGAAAAAAGTAAAAGGGAGTTTAATCACTGAAAATGAGCGAGATGGGCAATATGGAGGAACTGTTTAAATTATGTAATCATACTTTCCAGCTAAATGGGCGGTACAATTTGTTTCTGAGCACTGTGTGTTAAAACGAACTGCCGTACCTCTGCAGTCAGTACCAGCCGTCTGGCTTTTTGGGTGTGAGAGCGGGGTCCTGAGCGGGGAGCGCTGTGTTAGCGCCAGCTGGATGGCGAGGGATTCAAAAGGCTTCTGCTAACGCTTACCACCATGTGTTGTCTTCTCGTTTCTCCTTTAATTACGCACATTAAGGTGTTTAGTTTGGCTTCAGTAGTTGCATAAAGGCGAAATCTGTGTGGTACAGGTAGGGAGGTGAGCTGCCCTGTTCAAGTAGCTGAAACCATTGGTGTCTCTTAAGGCTCTCAGGGCATCATGAAATACTGTATTGATTGGCTGTGGTTAAGCCTGTGGAAAATCTCCCACTGAGCACCGAATGAAGTTGTAAATCCATTCTTACCTGCCCATTTGAAGTATAATCTCTCAGTTTTTATTTATTATTACGTGCCCCTGGGAAGGATAAGAGCAGATGGAGGGGTGAAAGATACTGTTTAAACAAGGTAATATAAAGAATTTAGGAAATGGTCATTGAAGCCCTAAAATATTTTCTAATATAATTGCATTTCCTGAAAAACAAAACAAAACAAAACCCCCCACTGCCATTTGTAGAATATATTTGAGGTGTTTTCTGAGTTACAAATAGACAGTGCCTCTAATTTTTCTAATGTTCCTTACAGTTACTAGATGAGTAGCTCTTCTTAAATATTAATTCATTTTGATTTTGCAATCTGCACTTTCAGACAGGGGGAAGCCAAGTCAGTGCTAGGAAGTCATTGAAACTCTGTTTAATGTCATAGTATTTAAGTACTTGCTTTGCTAATATTTGTGCTGTATCATTAAGTATTCTAATTCTTTGTTTCTTATCCCCTCCCCTCTTTGGAGACTATTCATAGAGACGTTTATTGCGCAAGTTCCTACAGTTATCATCCAGATTTTTATTTAAATTCTGCGCTGCTGTTATTACAGTCATTGCCTCTAGGCTTGACATTTGGTTTGGTTTTTTTAATTAGATAATACAAGGTCGCGCAGATACAAGACCAGTAATTCTCCTCTTCCCCTAATACAGTAATTGACGCTTTTGTCTTGTTGATTTATGCCTGACAGAAATTATGGAATTGTTGGATGGAGAGCTGGACGCTCTCCGGTCTTTTTGCACGGTGAAGATAAGCAGGATGCGTCAGCAGCTGAGCTCGAGGCAGACAAATGGTGGCGAGTCAAGAAAGCTGCAGCCTGGGGTCACAGCAAAGAGTCCGGAGCCAAGTGACTTAAACCGCGTTGTTCCTGATCGGCTAATGAGCAGAATGCGCCTGAAAAATATCAGGGAGGCTGTGAAACAGGTACTGCAGGGCAGAAAAAAAATTGAGACTTTTGCCTGTGCTTTTGGGAGAATCACTGGGGAGAAAAAAAAGAATAAAAGCCGTAATATAAGAATCAGATCAGGCAGACCTTCCTGATGCCACACTCAGGCCTCTTGAAAGGGATTTTTGCTTGATATCTCAAGATTTATCTTTCTTACTTTTTTTTTTTTTGGTAAGCACTGCCACAGAACTGTTGCACATAAATCATCAAATCATTTTAACATATTGTCTGGTGATAAAATACTGACTTGTGTGACTGAGCGAGGCTGGGCTGGGCGGTTATTGCAGTCCACAGCAAGCCCTCGATCAAGTGAAGAAAATAGCTCTGTTTTATGGTTACGTTTGTGCCTGTTATTTATAGTATTCTTCATGTCTATACTGTGTTTGAAATTGATACAGAATGTCTGCATCTGGGAAAGTATTTCTGAAAAAAACACCAACCCAAAAAGAGCTTTGGGTGTAATTAGTTGTTTACTTTGTTTTATCTCTATCGCATTTGCTGGCTTTAATTTATTGCGATAGCGTATTTATTGTGGTAACGTATTCCTCTGCAAAGCCTGTGCCGGGGAGCAGGGAGAAACACTTAAATCAGTGCTGGCATGATGGTTATTTCAAGCTTCCTATTTGTTTAGATCTGCATTCTTCTGGTGTATTAATGTTAACCAACCCACTGTCCCAATTTTGTAGAATTTTTACTGCCTCTTTATTTGGCCTGCAGTGCGATAATACGTCTTCTAAGAAAAGTAACTTTGACTACTATGTCTGGCAGCTTCTGTCTTTACCTCTGCATAACAACATTTTTTATGCAGAGGAAAAGACACCAAGAAGACGACAGAGAGGCTCAAGACATGACTTTCTAGAATTGATTCCTCTGCTTTTGTAGCAGCTCTTTGTGTTTATGTAACCAGGTGGAATCTGTGTAAATGAAATCAGATAAAATGATTGATATTTCATAAATGTACAAATATTGGGATTTGCGTAATGCTATTAAATACGCCTAAGAGTTCTAGGTGGATAAACATAGGAATTAATAAGTGGTACTGTTTGTCTTAGAAATAAAATTCTAGTTTTCTTTGTATTTTGACTCAGGGCTGCCTACAGATATTTGAACTAACTGTTTCAGCATTCATTTACATCTTAGAATTTGTCAAGCTAATTGTAACCCTTTAAAATTTGTAAGGATAATCATAATTTCCCTGTGTGTGCTGTTAGCCCAGGAACACCGCTGTTCTGCAGCCTCACCACAGACTGGCAGGTACCTGTGGTGGAATTACTGCTGATTAGCACTGGCTGTTGCTGAGTCGTGGTTGTCGGGTGTTTGGAACGTGGAGCAAAACATGAGAATTTAACTTAACTGAGCCTTCAGGAGTTAATGTATTTGCTGGTGTAGAAGACTGGTCAGCATGCACAGGCTGCCTTCCTGGAGCATTAAGCAAGAGTAACCAACGGCTGGTGGTGCTCAAAACATTTTTAACACTAGTAAAATATGTGTAGATTTGCATTTGGCAAAATTATAATTTGCACTGCTCATCCACCCAGGGTCAAATGACTTATACTAATTAATTATCTTTTTTTTGGCCAGTACAACTGTGTCCTCACGGTTGGTTTTGGCTGCTCACCAACGTGTTGCTTGGCAGTCATGTGATTTCTTTTTTTTTTCTTGACTGTTAGAGTTTCTGTGCAAGAAGTCAGCAATGCTCATGTGACCTCAAGCATCAGGGAGACTTTGCCTATTACAAGAAGAAACAGTCTATTACAGATCAGTGCTACAGTTCTGAGATACGAGTAGATAATTTTAAATGAAACTAAGTTATCAGTGCTGGAAGGGGTAATATCTAGGGAAAAGCAAACGTATTTAGTGTGAAAACGTTCAGGCGAGCTCATCAAGATGATGACAAAGATTATGAAATAATTTACAACTGCCTACAAAAGCAAATTTTTGTCTTTAGACAGTATCTATATCTGTATTTTTATTGATTGTTCTTAATGGAGTGGCCGTTTTGCTAGGATAGACATCACTTATTACATCCAAGTCTCATCTTTCAGGTGACGGAAGCTCAAATCCACGAATGTTCAGTGTGCCCTGACTGTCAGAAGAAGGCAGCAGAGCTGGCCGAGATTACCTTTCTCAGACGGAAGAAGACTTCAATGGAAAGTGCTTTAATCCAAGAGAAACTGGAAGAACAGATTTACTCCAGAGTAAGCAAATGTTGTTAGAACAAAGTTGTGGTATGTTTTATGCATCCTGTAACTGAAGAATCCCTAAGCCGGATTTTCCCCTGATTTCCGGCCATAAGATCGGGTCGACTGGCGTGCAGTGCAAGTCTAAATAGGATTTGGCTCCACATCGTTAGTAAAGTGCTTGGCACCGACGTACTGATGAGGTTGTCTGAGCTTGCCTGATCTGCTGAAGGTCTTCTCCGGGATTTCTCCGCGGTCTGTTTTCTGGTGGGCTGCTTTTGAGGGACTGGATGTAGCTTCCAATGGTAGAACTGTGCAGGAACACAAACCCAAGTAATTTCCACATTTCCTTTTTGTTCCAGGATGGGCTCACACATATAGGAGAAGCACTCAGAAGCTTGCCTGGACCTTCAGAGGATCCCAGGAACTTATGGCAGAGGCTGAAAGGTCAGAAACTGTAAGGCCTGAAAGTAGTAAATGTAACTCAAGAGAGAGTCTTCAGTGGGCAGTCGTGTGCTGAAGGCCCACGGTGGTGGGTATAACCTCTTGTGTCAGTGATGGATTGGGAGGTGCTTTAATATTCTTGCAGGTAGAACTAGATGTGCCCGGCATGCTGCCATCTGGGGCGTGATTCCGCTCTGCCTTCTTCCTAAATGCAGAGTTGTAATATATCGTAATTGAAGTCTGTACATTTTTAGAATTATGGGAGCCAGCACTCGCAGGCTGTTGCTATTAATCGGACAGGTAATAAGGGTTGTTTTTTGTGGGATTGCTTGTGGGATTTTGGAGTGGCTTGCAGCTGCTTCCATCCGTGCGAAAAATAAATGACTCAATTTTTCAGGGCAGGGAAGTGTAATTACTGGATTTCAGCTCAATCTTTGCCCACTGTCTCATGTTAAATTAGAAGTGAGAGCCTCAGGTGGAGGAGAAAAAGAAGGTTGCGAAGTAGGTATAGAAAGGAGTAAAATGAAACAGGGTATTTATAGAACTGAAATAATGAGACTATAACAGAAATTAATCAGCAAGACTGTGTATGCCAACAGGACAAGAAATGATAATAAATTAATCGTGGAACCCATACAGGATAGGTGCCTCGGAAGAGAAAACCCAACATAGATTAAAATTAAAATGAGATGCCAGGTAGTATTTTTGACCTTTTTTGAATATACTTTGTGATTTTATGTGATTTTTTTCAAGATGGCAAAGTCAGCATCTTTCAGAGGGTGTATCTGGAGGAGAGATTGGCATTCAGTACACATCCAAATAAATAGGATTAAGTCTTACTGTTGCATTTTATTTTCACGTTTTGGTGTAAGAATATGTGTCATTGAAGTTGGTTCTGTATTTTTATACCCAAGCAGCATTTGGTTGGGTTTTTTTTTTGTGATCTCTGTACTGTTTATAAGAGTGCTTGAGGGCTGGTTATCCTCTTGTTTTCACTTCCCACAAGTCGGTGGAAAACCTGAGAAGAAATGCTGGCGTGTAGAGGCAGCTGGGCCCACCTACGTCAGTATCTGTCTTCTGGTGCTTAAAAACCGACCTTGACTGGTTTCACTGGGAGTTGATCCTGAGTAGGTCCAGTCCTACGTGAACACCTGCGGCAGTCCTGAGCTCTTCAAGGCGACTCGTCCTCGTGTTTCATCAGCAGATCGTTCACTTTTTTGGTGTGAACAGCAGGTCTAATTGTCCGTCGGAAATACTTCTCTAAGCTTGGCTTTAACTCTTGGATTGTCGCTGCAGATCGCGCAGCTGCCTATGCAGTGAATAAACAGCTGCTTGTTCCTTCCCATGCCCTAAAATCCTTAGAAATGTTTAAATCCCTTAAGCCTCCTACCTTCAAATCTTGGAAACCGTTTCTTTATAGATACTGCCTCTCTGTTCTTTAGCTGCTTTGGACCGCGCTCCCTGTTTCTCTCAAGTCTTTTGCAGTCTCCAGCACTCTGCCAGCACGAGGCCAGGGGCCCCCGTTATTCCCTGTGAAGTCTCCTAAGGGCCGTCAGGTACACAAGCGGTGATCAGGAATTGAATCCTTTGAAAAAGTAATTTTGCTGTTATTGACGATGAATGCAGCTTTCAGCCCTTCAGAAGGCCTAGAAAATGGGTTCTAGGACTCTAAATATAGGTTGATTATTTTTATAAGTAAAAGAAGACATTTTGATATTTTTGCTCTCGGTACCTGGGTGCTTTCTAGAAATGCTGACGTCCTTCTGGGCAACTCTGGGCAAGCCTTTATACAGATCCATTGAACTGTGAGCTGGTTGGGTTAGGCAGCTCACTGTATTTGTCTCTGAAATAGTGTTCCTACTGGCCCAGCACCGTGGCTGTACAGTTCTTGTTTGCCTGCCTAATGGTACAAAGACAGTTCAGATAGCTCCTCTGAAAAATCAAAGCGTATTTTGCTTGTGCCTGTTGCGTGTGTTTTCCTGCTGCTTGCGACAGTTCTTTCGGTTTTTTATTTTTTATCAAGAATGACTCTGAGATCTGAGTGTTTGTCTTCTGCTTTCTTGTAGCAGCTATTAGGGATGTACAATAGAATGAAAGATCTGAGTCTCTAAATAATTTATTTTATAATCCTGCAGCGTTTGATACTAAAGATCCAAAAATTCTGACATGGACAATGTAGGAGAAAAAAAATAAAAGAAGTGGATCATGTCTCTTTCTCTTTCCCCCTCACAGGAGCTTCCCCCCCTTCCTCAGCAGTAGATTTTTCTTTTGATCCAAAGAAATGCTCTAAAACTATGATCAAGAAATATTTATTCATCTGCTCCCTTGTTTGTGCTTGCTGGGGCATAAAAGGAGCGAGGTGGATCAAGGGTGATGCGTGTGGTAGGCGGCTGTAGCGCTGAAACAAATCAATCTGCCTGTTAAAAACACTTTGGAGCTTTTGCTTTCCAGCTTTCATGCTACACGTAGTCGCATTATTTAATCTTCTGACTGATTTGTGATGTAGTAGAGTTTATTGCTCCGAACTTTGTACAAATACAGAATGTTTTTTGTGTATGTATATCGGTTTGTTATGTGTGTGCTGATAACTGGTTTAATGACTTTATAGCAGACGCTGTGGACAAAATTACATTCCTCAAATTGTCATTATCGTTGGTTTCCTGTGGACTGCAGCAATGTAATTTCCGCTTGTATTTGCCCTAGCTTTCTCTATGTAAAAAAATGACCTGACTTTCAGGCTTGGTCATTCCTTGGTCTTGTTTCTAAGCATCTGTTGGGCCGTGGGACTTTGTGGTTGTTTCTCCTCTAGGATCACCTTCCCTCTCATTTGCAGTAGGCTGCCAGCACGTGTTGGAACGGGAATGAAGTTTTAGAGCAATTAACCTGCTTGGTTCTGGTAAACGTGTGTGAGGGCTGACTTCCAGCTCCTTGGGAATTATAGTCACACAGGGACGGAGGTTGGACAAGGCCGCTGGAGGGCATCTCGCCCAACCACTGCTCGAGCAACGTCCCCTGGGGCTGGGGGGGAGCTGGTCCCACTGCTCCAGTAGTCCTTAACGTTAATTTGAATCTTTTCTCTGAAGCTAAACTAAAACCTGAAATGCCGCATTTCCCGCCGGGGCCACTGCCTTTTTGTAGATCCACCCCCCAGTCACGGTTTTGTTGTGTGACGAGAGTCAGTTGTTCCTTTTTTTTATTATTTTTACCATAGACAGTTTGATTAGCTTCTAAGAAGAGGAGCTGAGCCCATTTATTCATGTTAGGAGCTTGACAAAAAACTGTAAACTGGTGGCACTGAGGACAAGGTTTTGCTGCTGGAAGGGATTGTGTTCCCCTGCAAAATTGTTGGCTGACACCGTGCCCAGACCTTCTTCGGTAAAAACCTGCACTGTAGTTTTCAGTGCAGCCGTTCCCCATCACCCGTACGTACTACAGCGATACCTGGAGTGCTTCCAGCTACGTATTTTTAAAGCAGTTTGAAATATACTGGCATTCTTCACGTGATAATTTTATTACCAGTCGCTATGATTTTCAGAGAATGACTTTTATTGCCTTCACGCAGTAAGAGCTAACCTAGGCGTTACGTGCAAGTTGTTACTGCCTGCAGCAGGGCTGGTATTTTAAATGCCGCTGCGTTTAAAAAATGTTTTTTAATTTTGCAAACGCATATATTAGTCTTACGGATGCTGCTTTTGTGTTGTTTTTAGGCAGCTAAACAACGGTTCCTTTTTCCTCCGCAGCTGGTTGTGCTGCTCCTCGCCTGCAGTGACGGCAGCATGGTCGGTGTGGGGAGAGGCTGGGAGGTGAGGGGCAGTGTGTACCTCCTGTCAGGTACCTGGGCCTCTTCTCTGTCAAACTGCCTCTAGAACTGAGCAGGGTAGCTTAAGAAAACATTTTCCACCTTCTGGGCATGGATATTCACTGCTTATTTATTAATTTGTTTTGTAATAAAATAGTACTGTTTGTTCTCACATCGACCGGTGTGTATGGTCCATAAATACGTTGTAAAATATATCTGTAGCATGTAACAGCGTCCTTTAGAATATTCTGTGAAAATTCATGGTTTTAGTTGATAGCGCTTTAAGAACATTTACATCCTTCATCTTGACGTTTTTAAATAGAACATTTTTTGCCTACAGAAGTAAGTTGACAGCATCATCACAGTATTATAGCTTGTTTAAAAATACAGACGGCATTAGTGGTAGTTGCAAGCAAGCTATATACTTGAGCAGGGGGTTTGTCTGTGATTTTACACGCTTTCCACTTTTTAAAACAATTACGTATATTAATATTACAACCATCAACTTGGTTAGAAAATGTTACTTACATATGCTACTCACAATATATCCGTCGTTTCCCGTGACGTAATATTACAGGCTACGAAAATAGAAACACGCCATCGTACGGTCGGTTTAAAAATAACCACAAGCCTGCTTAAAAAAGTGCGGGAGGCTTGCGCTCTCCTCCGTGAGCGAGGCGCCACTGGCCTTGGGCGTCCTTCATCCACGGAGGGCTGCAACGCCTCGTGCCACCCCTGCCCGTTGACACCCGCTGGCAGGAGGGGGGCTCGGTCCCGCACGGAACCGACGCCGAAGAAGACGCCGAGCTCTTCAGCGACAGGCTCTTGGGACCAGGCAAAAAAGTGCGGGAGGCTTGCGCTCTCCTCCGTGAGCGAGGCGCCACTGGCCTTGGGCGTCCTTCATCCACGGAGGGCTGCAACGCCTCGTGCCACCCCTGCCCGTTGACACCCGCTGGCAGGAGGGGGGCTCGGTCCCGCACGGAACCGACGCCGAAGAAGACGCCGAGCTCTTCAGCGACAGGCTCTTGGGACCAGGCGGCTGCCGCCGCGTCTCTGGGAACCTGCTTTGCTTCAGGCTCCGGCTGGATTTTGAAATCTTCCGCCGGACGATGCGATCCGTGCGAGGCACCACAGCTGCCCTGGCTTTTGTCAGCGGTGTTGGTCTGACACAAACCAAAAGCTGACTCCTTGCCTTCGGAGGGCCAGTGGGTTTCTGAA